ATGATATTATTTAAAAATATTTTTTATAAAATAAAAAATATTATGTTAATATAACTTTAAATAAAAAATATTTGAAAAAACAACCACTTGCACAAAAACAAAATAAAACAAATAAATAAAATAAAAACAAATGAAACGGGCTCATGTTTCAAGCATCGAATTGGCATTTTACAGTTACATGCTCTTCATAGAATTGATAGGATTATGAGGCAAACTTAGTTGGCAAAGCCAGTAGCAAACACACACCACCCGGCAAAAACATGTTACATGTGCTGTAGTGTTTACATAGGCATCTGAGAAAGTCTAATCTAAATAATTTGAACTAGATCTGTTGATCTTACACTCGTGAAGTTAACCATTGACACTACCAGGGAAGCTTCTTCACAATTATTTTCTTGCTTAAAATCTAAGATAAAGGAGACCTTCTGGGAATACCTTTTCTTCTTTTTCTACCAGTATAACAATACCGCTCGTCACATCCATTGATGGAACCAAATACCTCAATCTCATCTTCTATTTGTCTTGAACGCTTTGATCGTTTCTGCATGCAAAATTAAACTTGTATAATAAGTTGTTTGTTAATCCATGATTTGAAAGAATTGTTTTATTATATTTTATACATGTTTGCAGATATCCAACAAGAAGAAGAGGCCCAGCATTAACATAAAAGAATAGCAGTAATTAACAAACGAAGAAAATTAATGCAGAAACAAAAGCTATAATAATAATAATAATAATAATCAAAACCATGATTAATTAGAACTTACAACTTTGCATTCCACTGAGCAAAACTTGTAGTTATGAGATGAATCTTCTAATGTCGTTAGCTCCCATTGACATGATTCACACCTACGTTTTCTCTTAAGATTTGTTTCACTGTTGTTGTGATTGCTCAGAGGTCTTTGACTTTGATTTATTACTGATCCATTACTATTCTCTTTTGAAGTTCTTTGTTGAATATAAATAATAGAATTCCTATTAATGGAATATGGCTGAATCTCAGATACATCGAACAGTGTTCTTATCACAGGTATTTTGATTCCTGGACTGTACGAAGATCTGTAAACCTGAAAAATATTCCAACAAACAATGATTAAATACTTTCTCCTAATTATTATATATAATTAAGAAGCAGGGACTACAAATAAATAACTTACTTGGATGACTTGGTGCCCTTTATGCACATTGTTGCTGTTGCAGTGGTCACAGAACGGTGGTGATTTAGTGCAATCCACACAGAAGAAGTTGCAGTGTTTTGCTCTATTTGGATCGCCATGATTTTCACATTGCTCATAAAATTCTGTTTCTATCAAGTGCAGTACCCATTGAGGATAAGTTGCTTGCTCCCCCATAATGGTCTGTATGCCTACTGCCTCTTTTCTCAATTTCTTCTTTCTTTTGCGAAAGCAAATTGGAGGAATATGCTAGCTATAAACCCTAAAACGTATTCTAGGCATGTATTGCTCCATCATTCTCTATAGGAGGAGTCCTTCTGTTTTTTTATGTTCCTGTTTTAGTAAGAGACAAAGTCTAGACTTGTTATAGCTTCCAATATAGGAAGCTATGGCGGTTACCAATTCCAACAGCTAAAACATTAACTTTTTTTAAAGAAAAACAAAACCCTTTCCTTTTATTTCAAGGAATTGAGACACAGAAAAAAGTTTGACTACGGACTTCTTGAAAATTTACTAGAAAATCTCTAAATTGGAGAAGAGAGATTCTACTCGAAGTTTCAATAGTTAATATTTTTGTTATCAAGTCTATTACATCTAATTTTATCTTTATTTAAATTTATCATCATCATCATTAAAAAAAATAAAAATTTGAAAACAATGCTTGATTAAACAAAAGCAGATCTAATTACCAACCAGCACAGTAATCAGAAAGCCGAAAATATTTCCTATAATATAGTCATCACCATGAAAGTCCCTCCTGATTTATAATTTATTGATGCAAAGATTGTTTGGACCAACTGGTTGGTCCGTTAACCCTTCCATATAATCAGTACATTCATTCCCTAAGAAACTTGATAATGGAGCCAGTTATTCACAATATCAATTGTTCATGAATCACAACACTTGTTAAGCAACCCTACTATAAGTGCTGAGACAAAAAAAAAAAAAAAAAAAAAAAAAGGCTTCCCGTACATTTATGGCTTTGAAGCATATCTTACCTAACTTGAACACAAAGGAATATAAGTTATATCTATTTTGTAGGTACTTGTGTGCATGTCTCAAATTAAGAATAGAATTTTATAACTTATATTCCAGACTTAAAATTCTAGATTTTTGCTACTATTCTATATTTGTAAATTCATACTTACAGTAATATCATAATATAGAAATTTAACACTTAAAGAATATAAAACTTATATTCATATGATGATATTTGTTTTGATTATAACAATATAAGATAATGCCATGATAAAATAACATGAAATGATTTTTGTTTTCATGTGTTTTTTTTATAATAGAAATTATAAGCCTACTAGATTACAAGCCTACTCGCTATATCTGTTAATTATCATCTATAAGTTACTTGTTTATTGGTTATTTACATGTAAGTTACTATTATTTATTGCTAAACAGGTTTTGAAGTTCCCGCAGATTTGGTCAAATTGTACTGTAGTTGTTGTTGATTTGTTTAGTTGTTTAATTTTTTTTATTATATGCTTCTTTTTTTTTTTTTTTGGCCTTTTTTAAATAGAGAAAATTATAGAAAATCATTTGGTATACAATCATCTTCTTCATTCTTCTTGATTTTAAGGATGCATGATTTCAATTACTCTCTTTCATTCATCTACGTACCATGCTCATTTTCTTTAATAACTTTAAATTATTTTTAATTTGTATTCTAATATTTTTTTCACTTGATTCAAATTTTATTCTCCCTTGTTTGATATTAATTTAGCTTATAACCAAATCTAGTCCTTCTTAATTTGATTCAAATTTATCATATTCTTATCAAATATAATCCTTTCTTAGGTTTGTTTTCCTGATCTTTGGCCTACTCTATCCCTTTACCGATTTTATTGTATAATATTTATTCCTCCTTTAAATATTTTATTAGTGACCTTTTTAAAAAAAATGAGAATTAATGGGTCATATGACCATGCTTTCAAAAAATAAGAAATATTGGGTTACTATTTGCATCTATTTATTAATTTAAATTTCAAACTCTCTTATCTATTAAAGATTCATTTTTCTCTCTTTTTTATTTGTATTTTCTTTTTTTCTTTCCCT